CCCCAAAACCCCAAAACCCCATTGAAATTATGAAGCAAATTTTGAGAGCAATTAAATATTTATCGATAATAATTTCAGATAATACACAATGAATTTCAAGGAAATTGTCTGAGTATATAAAATACTATAAAGATAATCAGGAAATCAATAAATTTATTTCTCTTCTCATCAATTTGAGTTGTTTTTGTTAGATCTTTTTTATATTATTCAGCAGATGTTTATCCTGATGTAATTCCTAGAACCTTTTTTTATTTAACGTTAATTTTAATTTTCTAATTTTTATCAAATACCTTCTTGAACTTCCACAATTGATACTTTAGAGGATCAATTTTCGTTCTTTTATTCAATTTAACTATTAGTTTTTATAGATTTTAGTATATTTTTTCAAGTTTTGAATAATTTAGTGGGCAATAATCACTTTCTTAAAAAATTGAAACTCTATCACCTTAAGTTACCTCATCAGTTAAAAATATTGTAACACAGTCAATTGGATACTGATCAGTGTTAAATCCGTATTAATCTCTCACATATTCATTTATATGTTCAAGAAATCCTTGCTCGATATGAGTATCATAGTTATGCTTAAAGATCTTGTAATTATTTTAGTTAAAAGCAGCTTTATTTGCAACAAATAATACTCTCTTAAAAAAATCTAGGCCATAGATAGCTACAAATATTCTCAGCATTTAATCTAGAATATAGGGTTTATATGATTTAGAGGCATCATACACAATTATAAAAATCGGCTCATTTGACAATAGTTTTAGCTCATCCATCACAGTTTTTAGTTGAGTATAATCTAAAGATTCGTCAAATCTTTAAGTATCGATCAAGTTGTACTCTTCATCCATAGCATCCTTCCATTTAACCTTTTGATCAAATAATGATTAGTACTTATAGAAAGGTTTATCCTTTTTTAAATAGTAATAGTCGTTTGAAATTCCGTAGCAAAGAGAGCTTTTGCCAGATGATTTTTAACCTATCACACATACATTTAGTCCTTTTATTGATGAATCCATTATAGATATAATAATTTTTAAGTTAGTTCTATATTTTAATAAATAATTTTCTTGATGATCATATCTCATTAAACCTAAAGGGGTTTTGGGGTTTTGGGG